CTGAGCGGCGACGTGCAGCAGCACCCGAAGAGTGGTCATCTTCGGGGTGGGGGAGAAGGTCTGGAAGAAGTCAACTCCCTATCGCTGACTGAAGCCTCGTACAGTGTAATGAGCCTTGAAGACAGGCAGAGAACCCGGCGGCCGCTTCACCCTGAAAATCCACATGCCGTCGACGATGTTCGCCCCGGGAGGGGGAACCTCATCGACGTAGGTGCCCGTCGAATTCCAGGATGCCATCTCTGCATCCATGGCTGTCTGCCACTGAGAATAGTACTCACCCGCGATCGCCTCACCGTAAGAGCACGGGGTCGGGATGTCTGGTGCATCCGGGTCTCCCTCAGGGGCAAGCAGCATGGCCACGAGATGAGGCGCAGCGGCCGCAAGACACTCAAGGTCCTCGTGCGTGTCCTCAAGGACGTCCGTGCTAAGAGCACACTCACCCCCGACGGACGGAGGACAGACAGACTCAGACTCACCAACAAGACTAGCAGCGTAGTCCAGACGATGGGCAGCAGCAAATTCGACAAGCTCAGCGACTAGGGCAGACGCAGAAGTGGACTCAAACGACGGGTCAGTGAGAACAGTGGCTTACAAACGCGTGACAGTAGGGTGCTCATTACGAAACGTGTCAGACTCAGGGTCCACAACATCAGACAGGGAGGACGCAGGGGGAGACGGCAGAGGAACACGCTGCAAAGGAGAGGAAGGACGACGGACTACAAGGTGGGTGCCGGGGACAGCCGGCTAACGCGGACGAGGAACACGACGACCGGAATGACCAGAACAGACAGGCGAGACAGGACGCGAGGCAGGCTCACGACGCTCAGCAAGGCCCCCTGTCTGCTCAGTGTAAGGAGAAGGAGCAGGCAGCAGTGAGCCAGGTTGTAACGGAAGACCAGTAGACGAAGGGAGACTGAGAACCTGGGGAAGCGCAGAGTCAGGCGGTGGCTAAGACGACGGAGACGGCGGAGCGAAGAACAGACGCGAGTGTGCAGTGCCACCAGCACCAGCAGCTCCAGCACCTCCAGCAGCTCCAGTACCCTCAGCAGCTCCAGCACCTCCAGAACCCTCAGCGCCAGCTCCTCCAGGACCAGCTCCACCAGTTGCAGCACCCCCAGAACCGGTACCTCCAGTCCCAGGGTCTCCAGCCTCAGTGCCTCCATTATCAGCACCCCCAGACCCAGGGTCTCTAGCAGTAGCACCCTCAGACACAGCACCTCTAGCCCCAGCAGCTCCAGTACCTCCAGTACGAGCACCTCCGGGACCAGCGACTCTAGCACCTCCAGTAGACCAAGGACCAGCACCACTTCTAGCTTTAGTGATGTCAGCAGAAATACCTCCAGCAGCAGAGCCCCAAGCTCGAGAAGCGCGACCCTGACGGCGACCGTACCAGTCGTGCAGCTGCTGTGAGGTGAGAGGCACGCGTGGACGAAGGCGGCTACTCCAAGGAGACCGCATAACAGCAGTCTCAGAACCTTCAGGCCTCGCAACCCCAGACTCAGTACCCCCAGGCTCCTCTCGCGCAGGCTCAGCACCCCCAGACGCAGCACCCCCAGGCTCAGGACCTCCAGGCTCCTCACGCGCAGGCTCAGTACCTCCAGGCTCCGCACCCTTAAGCTCCTCACGCTCAGGCTCAGCACCCCCACGCTCCGCACCCCCAAGCTCCGCACCCCCAAACTCCGCACCCCCAGGGACAGTACCACCCCCAGCAGGACCTGAGTCACCAGTGACCTCAATAGGCGCAGGCACGGGAGGGCCTACCTGAGAGACTCCTGAAGGAGCAGGACCTGGCGCAGGGAGGGGGTCTACCTGTGGTGGACCTGGGGCGAGAAAGAGTGAGGGGGGGGGGGGGCGAGGGGCAGTGTGGTAGGGAAAGAGACGGTAAAAGGGAACTGGCTCGTCAAAGGTGACATCCTGAGACGGAAAGACACGGCGCGAGGCGGGGTCGTAAAACTGCCAGCCAGGCGCGTGAGGGACAAAGCCAAGGAAGACGCAGGGAATGGCGCGAGGGGAGAGCTTGTCCGCAGTGGTATCGCGGACAATCGCACGAGCACCCCAGACCCGGAAACGCGACGCATCGCCAACCTTCCCCGTCCACAGCAATGTGGACGAGGTATCCGGCAAGGAGACACGGGGCCAGAGGTTGAGTTTATGCGCGGCGTACCAGACCGCAAACGGCCACAGAAAATTGGGGGCAGACGCATGGATCATGGAGTTACGAGCGACCTCCATGACTAAGCCAATGCAGCGCTCTGCAACCCCATTCTGCTGCGGAGAGGCCGGAAGCGTGAACGTCTGGCGGATGTTGTGCTCCGCACAGAAGGCTGCCAAGAGGTCTGAGGAGAACTCACCACCTCTGTCAGAGTGCAGACGCATGACAGGAAAGTCCGAGTGGAACCGCTCGCGGAGCTGGAGACGAACAGCGCGGATCCAGGGGAACAAAACATCAGGGACCTCCCCGTTGCGCTGCAAGGGGAAGACCGTGGTGTAACACATGTTGTCGTTGATAACTAGCAGGAAGTACCGCTCGTGGCCCTGTCCACGGACGCGGGCTGGGCCCCACACGTCCAGGTGGAGAGTCTGCAGTGGAGCCTCTGTGGGAGGGAACGAGGAGGAGTGAGGAGCGGCGCGCTGCCGCCCCTCAACGCAAGGAATGCAGGGCGGCGCAGGCGAGGGAGGGAGGGCAGGCAGAGACCTAGGAAGGCCAGAGACCAGGAAGCGAGAGTGCATGCTACGAAGGCGAGGCAGGGAGGGGTGACCAAGGCGGTGGTGCCACATGAGAGTGGCGTGCAACAGGCGGCGACATTCACACTGGGTAGCTACCTGAGCAGACGCGTACAGCTGGGGAGACAAAGGGGTGGAGCGCGACACAGTGGTGAGGGTGTACAGACTGGACCCAGGCGCACGTGTGAACGTGGCCAGGTGACGGCCGGTCCGGGAGCACGTGCAGATCGCCACACGCTGTCCTCCAGGAGTAAAGGTGTCAACCCAGTGATCCTGAAGGACGGCGTTGCTCACCAAGTTCGTAGAGAACGAGGGGAGGTGGAGACCAGACAGCTGACCAGACGGGACTGCCGGACACGGAAGCACAGTGGAAGACCGTGCAAGCATTGGGCCCCCAGAGGGGTCAGCAATGAGACAGGGAGAGGGGCAGGGAGGGGAGTGACTGTGGTGCTGTCGCGAAAGAAACAGCGGGAAGCACCAGAGTCAAGTGTAAAGGTGTGCAAGGCTTGTGCGGACGCAGTACCAGGGAGAAGAGACTCACTAGCACCTAGAGCTGCATGCGCTATTCCTGGGGCTATACCGGGGCCAGGCGGCACACACAAGTAGCAGTCACCCTCAGCACTAACAGACAATGCATACATGGCAGCAAGAATAGCATCATAGTCAAGATCAAAGATAGGTACATCACGCGTAAGCAGATCTGCCCAGTTGGGGAACTCAGTAGCATCAGGAAACTTGACGCGCCAGGAGTCGCTAAGCCGAGCGTGTGAGAGTAAGGAGTAGTCTTAGGAGCCATAGCTAGGAAAGCCCTAGCTAGGCAAGAAACAGTTTAGACAAAGAAGAGGGGTTTTCACTAGCAGGAATGAGGATACAAATAGCAAACCCTAGAAGGGTTGTACTCGCTATAGAGCACCCCACTACAGGCTAGAGCATAACATTCTGACACACCCCCATAGCCAAATTGGGGTGTAATCAGCACAGTGAGAAAGCAGGTATAGAGAAGGAGTTTACACAGATAAGCAAAGCCAGAGCTAATCACAGCGGACAAGTGAGGAGGAGGAGGAGCTGTGGGGGAGAGAAGATGGGAGGCGACTGCTGACACTGCAGACACACAGACGAGCTGCTGGCTCAGTGGCTACCGGAACAGCGCTCCGGACTACTGGAGTAACTGGCCCCGCGGCTAAAAGTAGCGGCAGACAAGCAACGGACCCACGGGCGACTGGCGACTACCGGAGATTGTAGCCTCCGGACTGCTGCTGCTGCTGACGACAAGACTGCTGCCTCCACTCAACCTCCCCCAACTGCCCCACACTCTCGGCACACGCCCACTGCTCAAACCCTAGCTCCACTCCCACGCACCCCCCTTAAACCCTAAACCCCGGTCTCCCACTCATCCACCCCCCTCAGCGACAGCTGCAGCAGTGGGAGACGAAGGAGGAGGAGGAGCAAAGGGAGGAATGCACAACTGCCACCCCCATACCCGCCACCCCCACACTCCTTACCCCAAACCCTAATGGAGGGAGGAGCGTGGGAAGTAGGAGGGGCGAGTCACGAAAGGAAAGGGAGGTGGCAGGGGGTAACCAGGGCGCCACGAAGAAGCAGGGCGCGGCCCACGAGGGCGGCTCGACGGGCGACGGGAGGGGCCGTGCGCGGGCCCCCAAGGCGCCGCGTCGAGGCGACGGTTGGGGCCGGTGTGCGGGCCCCCAAAGTGCCGTGACGAGGCAACGTAAGGGGCCGGCGCGCGGGCCCCCAAAGCGCCGCGACGAGGCGACGGGAGGGGCCTGCGCACGGGCCCCAAAAGCGCCGCGACGAGGCGACGGGAGGGGCCTGCGCGTGGGCCCCCAAGGCGCCGAGACGAAGTGACGGGAGGGGCCGGCGCGCGGGCCCCCAGGGCGCCGCGACGAGGAGAAAACCGCCACGCGCCTCGGGGCGCACGGCGGACAGAAAACCGCCGCGCGACCCGAGCGCGCGGCGGGATGAAAAATAAGAGGTCGCGCTCCATGGGGCGCGCGACACAACGTAGGGCAGCGGAAGGAGTAGTGGGGCCAACAGGCCAGGAGCATGTGTGCTCTGACTCCATGTGAGGGTAAGGAGTAGTCTTAGGAGCCATAGCTAGGAAAGCCCTAGCTAGGCAAGAAATAGTTTAGACAAAGAAGAGGGGTTTTCACTAGCAGGAATGAGGATACAAATAGCAAACCCTAGAAGGGTTGTACTCGCTATAGAGCACCCCACTACAGGCTAGAGCATAACATTCTGACAGAGTGAAGCAGCGGTACTCAGTGTGAAAGCTGGTGCACTGGCAACCAGCGCGGGGACCTGCGTGAATGATATAGGGGTAGCGACCAGGACCCCTAGACGCCCCACGTCCGGCATACCAATCAAGAACCTGCTGCTGCTGCTGTTGCTGCTGCCTTTGGCCACCACTGGTGTCACCCAAGCCCCCACCACCGCCGCCACCACCACTCCCCCCTCCGCCACCACCGCCGCTGCCATCACCACTACTCCTGGCACCACCACCGCCCCCACGACCACCTCCACCCCCACGACCACCCCCACCACCTCCACCTCCCCCGCCGCCTCCACCACCGCCCCCTCCACTGCCACGTCCGCCACCTCTGCCACCCCTGCCTCTCCTAGAGTCGCTGCGCTTCCCACTAGGAGCGGAAGTAGCTGCGACCTTCTCAGCACCAAGGAGGTCGATAGCAGCAGTTGCGGAGGCGTAGGAGGGGGTAAGAGGGGAGGGGGAGCACCCCTCAAAGAGGGGAGAGCGAGGAGTACCACGAGCAGCACCTACAGCGAGGATGTTCTTCTCTGCTTCTTGGAGGTGCTTCTCGAAGTCGGCGACATTGAGAGTGGTAGGGTCTAGGGCTAGGAAGTGTTCCCTGACGGAGCTAAGAGTGTCAGGGAGGCGGGTGACGAGGAAATAGAGAGAGAAGTACATGGGGGGGGGGGGGGGGGGGGGGGGGGGGGGTTTGCGGCGCAGAACTCGGCTGGAAGGGTGGCACGAAAGCGAGTGTCACTAGTGCGAAGGTGAGAAATGAGGTCCTCAGCAGTGGTAAACGAGGACAGGTCTGGGAACAGGTAGGGTAGCATGAGCCGCCCTTGGGCTGAAGTGGCCGAGGAGGAGTAGCGCGCAACTACAGCATCGTACAGTGCCTTAGCAGTTTTGTGTTGGCTGAAATGCGCGCGCTCAGTGATCGGCAGATGGTTCCTAATCGCTAGGCGTGCAGCAGCATCGCGAGTCTGCCACTGTGAGCGTTCGAGAGCAGTATCATCGTCAGCAGGAGCAAGGGCAGTGCCAGACACGTAATCGAACAGTGAAACGCCGTCTTAAGCATCTGTCACAAGAAACAGTTGGAGATCGTCGAGCCACACAGCGAACTCCATCGGGCGACCGTCAGACTCAAACGCGAGAACATTAATCGTCGCCATAATCGTAATGCAGGTAAAGCCGGTAGGCAAAGGCAGTAGGCAGCAGGCAGCTGGCAAAGGCAAAGGCAACAGGCAACAGGCAGTAGGCAAAGGCAGTAGGCAGTCGGCAGCTGGCAAAGGCAAACGCAGCAGGCAACAGGCAGTGGGCAGCAGGCAAAGGCAGCTCAGGCAGCATGCGGGGTAGTCGCAGGCCGCGCTTAGGCTATATCATTGGGCCGCACGCGAGCTCCTAAGGCGGCGCGCGAGGCAGCATCAGGCCGCGCGCGCTCCTAAGGGAGCTAGCGGAGCAGCAGCGGGCTGCGCAGGCGGTAGACGCGGCGCGTGGGGCAGGGAACGCGCGGCTGCGGGTTGCGCGAGGCAACGGGCTGCGCGCGGCTGCGGGCTGCGTGCGGCGGTGGGCTGCGCGTGGCGGCGGGCTGCGCGGGCTCGTCGCGGGCTGCGCGAGCGGTGCGTGGGGCAGCTGCAGGCCGAGCGCGGGCGTCGCGGGCTCGGCGCAGGCTGCGGGCGCGGCGCTGCAGCGGGCTGCGGAGGTGGCTGCAGCAGCAGCGCGCGCTAAAAAAAAAGATACGCGCGCAGGCAGCAGGCAAGGCAGGCAGGCCGGCAAGGTCGTAGGTGAGGTAACACGGTAACAGGTGGGCCCTAAACTTAGGTCCTAAAGACCTACTGCTCTAGATACCATCTTAGAGACTAGGCAGGAGTGAATTGACTATTGAGAGAATGGTACAAGAAGGAAGCCCTAAGGGGTTATACCCCACATTATTGTCAGATTTATATGACATAGTTGCTGTAGGCTATAGTGGGGTAGCACATATGGGGTACAGGGTACAGGGTTTCTAGGGTTGTATTTGTACCCAATCTTTCCTTAGTCATTCCATTCCTGTTCACTTATTTCACATGGTATAGAGCGGGTCCTTCCTTAGGACCGGTTTTTTTTTTTTTTTAGGGCCCACCGAAGCGCGCCCCGAGGCGCGCCCCTTTTTTTTAGCGACCCCTCGGGTCGCCATTTCCCTCGCGGCCCCGCTGTCCCTTGGACGCGGCCCCGCCACCCCTCCTGATCGCGGCCCCGCCGCCTATTTGACGCGGCCCCGCCGCCTCCACTGACGCGGCCCCGCCGCCGGCTCTGACGCGGCCCTGCCGCCCGCTTCGTCGCGGCCCCGCCGCCTACTTGACGCGGCCCCGTCGCCTCCACTGACGCGGCCCCGCCGCCGGCTCTGACGCGACCCTGCCGGCCCGCCGCTGCACCCTACGGCCCGCCGCTGCACCCTACGGCCCGCCGCCTCACCTGACGGCCCCGCCGCTGCACCTGCCGGCCCGCCGCTGCACCCAGCGGCCCGCCGCTTCACCTGACGGCCCCGCCGCTGCACCTGCCGGCCCGCCGCTGCACCCTACGGCCCGCCGCCTCACCTGGTCGGCCCGCCGCTGCACCCTACGGCCCCGCCGCTGCACCTGCCGGCCCGCCGCTGCACCGGTCGACCCGCCGCTGCACCTGACGGCCCCGCCCCAGCAGCGAGCCGCCCCAGCAGCCGAACCGCCCGGGAGCCGAGCCGCCCAACCCCGAGCCGCCCTGCCGCCGAGCCGCCCGGGAGCCGAGCCGCCCTGCACCCGAGCCGCCCTGCCGCCGAGCCGCCCGGGAGCCGAGCCGCCCTGCGCCCGAGCCGCCCAGCTGCCGAGCCGCCCGGGAGCCGAGCCGCTGTGCACCCGAGCCGCCCGGTCGCTGAGCCGCCTTTCTGCAGAGCTGCACGACCTGCCCTGCCTGGTGAGCATAGTCCCACTGCCACTGCGAGCTCTTTCCCTACTGCTTGCACTGCGTCGCTGTCGTCGCCATGGCTACCCCTAGTGTCCTAGCTTTTGACGCTGAGGGTCGCGCCATTGATTTTGAGGTCTGGTTAGACGACCTGCAGCTGTTCTTACAGTGCGACAGGGCTGACGACCTTTCTCTCTTTGACCTCACCTCTGGCGCCTCTCCTGCTCCTGCTGCTGATGCTGATCCCACTGTCCGCTCTCAGTGGGCCACCCGCGATGCTGCTACACGTCTTGCTGTGCGTCGCCACCTCCCTACCTCTGAGCGTGCGCACTTTAGTCAGTACAAGAGTGCTCAGACCTTGTACGACGCTGTAGTTGCGCGCTACTCCTCCCCTGCCACTGCTGCACTGAGCCGTCTCATGCTTCCCTACCTCTTTCCTGACCTCTCTGCCTTTCCCACTGTTGCTGACCTCATTACGCACCTCCGCACTAGTGACACTCGCTACCGCGCCGCCCTTCCTGCTGAGTTCTGCGCTAAGAACCCACCCGCCATGTACATCGCTCTCTACTACGTAGTCGCGCGCCTCCCTGACTCCCTTCGCGTCGTCAGGGACCACTTTCTCGCAGTCTGCCCCACCACCCTCACCGTCGACCTCCTCGAGAAGGCCCTCCTCGCAGCGGAGAAGAGCATAGTCGCTGTAGGTGCTTCTCGTGGTGACCCTCGCACCCCCATCTTTGAGGGGTGCTCTCCTTCCCCCTTGCTGCCCTCTGTTGCCTCTGCTGCTGCTGCCGACCTGCTTGGTCTTGAGTCGGTCGGCGCGGCGTCTACCCCTAGTGGGAGACGTCGCTCCAGCAAGGGCAAGGGGGGCAAGGGCGCGGGTGGAGCTGGAGGGGGCGGTGGCGGTGGCGGCGGTGGCGGCGGAGGGAGTGGGGATGGCGGCGGGACTAGTGGCGGGGGTGGTGGTGGTGGTGGCAGCAGCGGCGGAGGCGGTGGTGGTGGAGGCAGCGGCGGAGGTGGAGGCGGCGGAGGTGGAGGCGGTGGAGGCGGCAGCGGAGGAGGCGGTGGTGGTGGAGGAGGTGGAGCTGGTCGGGGTGGTACCCAGCAGCGTAGCGGCGGTGGTGGTGGCAAGCGCTCGCAGCGGCAGCAGCAGCAGCGCTCGCGGGACATCCCTCCGCCTCAGCAGCTTCGTGAGTGGTACGCTGGGCGTCAGAGGGGTGGGGGTACTGGTCCCTGCACCTACGTTCTTCGTTCCGGCGACCGCGCGGGTGAGCAGTGTGGGGGTACCCACGCCACCCAGCGCTGCTTTGGCCGCCTGACGGACGCTTGGCGTCAGCAGTTCCCTAGGGCTAGTGAGATCCCTCGCTGGGATGAGCTTCTAAGGGCTGGTGTAGCGATCTTTGATCTTGATTTTGATGCTATCCTTGCTGCTATGTATGCTGTGGATTATAGTGAGGAGAATGAGGGTTACCGGTGTTTCCAGCCCGACCCGGGCATTGGTACTGCTGCGCTAGGTGCTTGTGAGGCTGCTGCTCTAGGTGCCAGTGCGTCTGTGCTCTCAGGTACTGGTGAGACTGCGCTCTCAGGTACTGCGTCGTCCTCGTCCTCCCTCACTTTCACACTTGACTACGGGGCTTCTCGCTCCTTCTTTCGAGACCGCACTACCCTTACGCTGCTCGGCCGGCCGGTTGCGGTCTCCCTTGCTGACCCCTCTGGGGGTCCTGTCCTGTCTCACTTCTCCACTGTCCTCCCGTGTCCGGCTGCCCCTTCGGGCACCCTGTCTGGTCTGTACCTTCCCTCGTTCTCTACGAACTTGGTGAGTGGAGCGGACCTGCAGGATGTGGGGGTTCACCAGTTCACTCCTGCGAGTCAGCGGGTGACCCACTGCACGGAGGCACGCACAGGCCGACACCTGGCCACGTTCTCGCGTCGGCCGGGGTCGAGTCTCTACACCCTGACCGTTGAGTCTCCTCCTGTCCCTGCGTCTGGTCAGGTGGCTGCGTCGGGTCAGGTGCTTGCTGCTGCGTCCCGGTCAGGTGCTGAGTCTGCCCCCTGTTCTTGTCGCCTCCTGTCTCACGAGACTCTCCTGTGGCACCACCGTCTTGGCCACCCCTCCTTGCCCCGTCTTCGAAGCATGGCTTCCCGTGTCCTTGTCTCTGGTCTTCCCCAGTCTCTCCCTCCTCTCCCCTCCGGGCCAGGACCTTCCTGTGTCCCCTGTGTCGAGGGTCGCCTCCGGGCTACTCCTCACTCCTCCCACTTCCCCCCGACAGAGGCTCCCCTGCAGACGCTTCACATGGATGTGTGGGGCCCAGCCCCCGTCCGTGGGCAGGGTTACGAGCGCTACTTCCTGTTGGTGGTTGACGACTACTCGCGTTACACCACAGTCTTCCCCTTGCGCAGCAAGGGTGAGGTCACTGAGGTGTTGATCGACTGGATCCGCGCAGCTCGTCTCCAGCTCCGGCGGAGCTTCGGCTCGGACTTTCCTGTTCTGCGTCTGCATTCAGACAGAGGCGGAGAGTTCTCCTCCGGCCTTCTGCGCGCCTACTGTCGGGCACGAGGCATCCGCCAGACCTTCACGCTTCCGGACTCTCCACAGCAGAATGGGATTGCTGAGCGCCGCATCGGCATTGTCATGGACGTCGCCCGTACGTCCATGGTGCATGCGGCTGCCCCCCATTTTCTGTGGCCGTTTGCGGTTCGGTACGCCGCGCATAAGATCAACCTTCAGCCAAGAGTCTCCCGACCGGAGACCTCCCCAGCTTTGCTGTGGACGGGGAAGGTTGGCGATGCGTCGGCGTTCCGTGTCTGGGGATCTCGGGCGTTTGTCCGCGACTTGTCTGCGGACAAGCTGTCCCCTCGTGCTGCTCCCTGTGTCTTCCTTGGCTTCCCCACGGACGCTCCCGGGTGGCAGTTTTACCAC